CGTCTTAGTAATACTGCCTCGTTGGCCGAGTTGTCGCAAGTGCGACTGCCGGGTAAGGGGTCTCAGGTTCGATTCCCGGGACGGGCAAAGTATTACTGAGTTTTTTGAAAATTCTCAATAGTAGCACGGAGTCTGGAATTGTGCCCGACTGTGAAAAGTGAGTCTTACACTGTGCAGTGGCGTAGTATGCACCTCTGCCTACCCTTTTGGGGATAAAAGGCGTGAAGTTATGTTAATATTTATTTTGGTAGCCAGAGGTGACGTTTATGATATGATATGTCTTAGTAATACCACGAACTCAGGAAATTTGTTAAACTATGCTACATTGTAACATCCTATCATGATACAGATGTCAGTTCAATCGGAGTCACATCAGTGAACATTAAAAGTGTATCCAATTACGTAACTAATGGAAAGTGTGTGTTATTTACATTTCATTCCATCTCCCTCATATTAAAAAGCGTGACGTCATAATCATTATCATAGTTCAACTTCTTACAACTACGATAAAACAGAACGCTCGTTGATACAGTTTCGCTTAAACAGCTTCCTGCATTGCGAAGAGCTACAGACAGGTAATCTCCGGTCACAGACGTTAAACATAAGATATTATTTGTGCAGCTCCCAGCTTCCTACAGATAATTATGTCGCTTCAAGTCTCATACTTCTCATGATAGTGTACTTAAAGACTAATGACTTATCTAGTTAGTCTAAGAACGTTTATAATACTTGTAGAATTAAAGATTTATTGACAGAGCTAGGATGCTACGAATTCGGTGTGTTTGAAATATTACTTAATACTCCGAAAACGGTGAACGGTGACGGAGGTTGTAAAACTATTGGCCGGACTATTCCCCTACCTAATATAATATAAAGATCGTAGTAAAGTCAATATCTTTAATTTTTTTAACAAAGTTGTCCAATGATCTCCAGCACGCCTACCAAGCGTGGAGTTTAAAACCACTCTTTTAAACTACCTATATTCCATCCATGAACTACAGTCCCTGCGTTGATTATGATAACAATGACCACTACTACCATTACTAGCACCATTGAAAAACTAAATATTTCTAACAGAAAGCAATATAATCTACCAAGTAATATCGAGATACATACTAATCGTCCAACAAGCCCTTAAGATTAATTCAACTTGATTTAAGACAAAATTTTCTCAGCTTCCGTGAAATATCATGCTATTGTTATTTTACCATTTTATGAGGTGAGAGCTGCTCGTAAATTGAGGCTGTATATATGAAAAGCTTGTGCTTTCTCACTTCGTTTCGCCACCATTATATAAATGGCAGACATTATACCGAGCCTCAACGAGCACATATAACTACACACTATATGTTTTCATTACAACTTTATATTTATTACACAAATAGACGTGAATGTGTAGTTACGTATATTTGACCATTTGTAGTTCGCATCTGAAATCTTGCGTGTTTATGGCGTAACTTGGTCATTTAATGTAATTCTACATTCAATTAGGTACAGTTGTTATGTACATACATAGACATTAGACAATTAACCTGTAGGCTTTATTACCCCCTTCCCCAATCTCTTTAATCCCTGAATACACAACAATCCTCAAATTCCTATTCGTAACGCCTCTGATGTTCCAGGTGTCCATGAGCGATGCCGATTGCTTACCATCAGGTGATCCATCTGCTTGTTTCCGGGCTTATATCATAAATAAGACAGAGTCTACTTAAAACGTCCCATGACCACAGCAAAGTTTTCGCTAATCTATCAGACTGACTACTAGGTGATATTCGATAGAACCTACATCATTTTTGTTTCCATTATTTGTCCTTGCCCCTTGGGTGCGGAACACAAAAAGCAAGTAGAAATCAATAACATAAACCATCTACTGGAAATCATACTTACAAGGGTTAACTCAGCCCCAACTGATGTATAAATCTCTCTAAAACACTATTTTATAATGTTCATAATTATAATAGTCACACCAGTTTTAATCTTGACATTAAAAAGCGATCATTCTAAATAATGTGCAAAAAAGGTCTTTTGTATTTTACTCCATTACGCGCACAGTGTTGCTGTGTGCAACCATCAACCGGTTCCCTTCCCCTCTGCGGGTCATCAATATCATCAATAACAGCCGAAAGACGTCCACTGCTGTACAAAGGCCTCTCCCTTAGTCCTCCACGTTGAATGACAACTCACCACCTACATCCACTGGCTCCTCGCAACTCTGGTGATGTCATCGGTCCACCTAGCGGAAGGCCTGCCCACGCTTCGTCTTCTGGTCTGTTGTCTTTACTCAAGGATGGTCTCCACTCACTTCCCTTTAGCGAGTAAAAGAGACAAACTATATTTGTGATCTCTCTTAATTTCCATTATTGCCACGATGATCATCACAAGCGAATTATTAGAGGATTTGGATTTCATTAGGCTATCGCCCACATAGTTTTTATCAGATCTGGTAAAAGTCAGAGGCAAAAGTCCCAAATAACATGCGTTGGTGCACGATGCAAACGCATGCTGCTCGAGAAGTGTTCACAAACAAGACACACAATATTCTTTCTTGATACTTGGAGACTCCTCAGGGAGCCAAAACCTAACTTACCTAAAACTAAATATTAAAACAAAATTTTACGTCTACATAAAAAATACAGCAACAGTGTTATGTGGGAATGTCTTTTAATCCTGCTGGCAATCTAGTGTAAGATAGCAATTTCATGGAAGTCGGTCAGTTAAACCAATAAGGGACCGACGTTACTTCACTTCGTAACTCCTTAGGGTATCCAGACTCTGAAGCAATATCGTTAACACTAAAAAGGTTTCAACCTCTTCGTATAAATATTTACTTTGTAGTGGGTAGATGGATTCTGTGCTTATGGTCAACATCATCATCACCATAAAATATCACATCTGAGACAGACCCGTGACACTTTAAAATGTGTCACGGGTGATAGTCTTAGCCGTGATATTTTTTATGGGATAAGCCAGTTGACGAAATGACGGATCACCTGATGGTATAAGCCATTGGCGTTGCCCATGGATACCAGGAGCATCAGAGGCGTTTCAAGTACGTTAACGGCCTTTGGGGATTAGGAGTTTGAGGATTGTTAGGAATTCAGGGATTAAAGAGATCGGGACGGGGGGAGGCCGTGGTATTACTCTGGTCGAGCCAGCCCATTCATGCGTCGCGTGGCTCTCCCACACTTAAACTGAGATAGTTTCAGCCGAATTCCTTTACTTACCAGTCTGATGACTATTTCTAAGTCGAGCAGACCCATTATAACATTTAAGATTATCTATTTCTCTTTATCTTTTCAATAGGAGAATGTTGTAAAGATTTGAGCCCATTGTCTTTAGATTATAATTCTTGAAATCAACCTATTCATTCGTAAGTGCGTCACAACCATTGACACAATTTTCTCTAAAGATTCAATTAACACAGATAAACAGACGATCCCATATATTTCGTATGTACATTTTTGTAATTGTAAATTAATCGCAAAATCTTATAAATTTGTAATTTATTGTATATGAAAAGACGAAACTGCGTAGCACGTTGACTACATGCACCTACATTATTAATGTGGCTTGCGAAACCCAGAAACAAATTCATGAATTAAATATTGCATTACCAGCTGTATTAACCACTTGTAAATATTTAAGGAATGCGTTTTAGCACCACAATTTGTGTTTATATTTAGTACACGAACACTATATTCTTTCATTACCTCGTTTCTAAAAGATTTTGTAAAATGTATTTAGGATTTTGGCACATTGGATTTTGTAAAATGTTTTTAGGAAGTATTACTGGGTTTTTAAAAAAATGTCAGTAGTAGCACGGAGTCTGGAAATGTGCCCGGTTTACGGCAATAGGCGCACACCCTATTACATGGGACTCATAACATAAATAGTGAAAAGTGGCTGTTACATTGTACAGTGTATGCGAAATGTAGACCTCTGCCTACTTCTTCCGGGATAAAAGGCGTGATGTTATAATTTTGGCACAAAGTAATGCGGTATTATTTCAACTTAATTCGTAAAACGTCTATTACATTCTGAACTTAATAACAAAAGCAAAGAGCAGTCGAAGGGTAACTTTACTTAGAGTTCAATCAAATACTCATAGAGTAAGCGTACAAACATTGCCGTAGAAATGTTCTACCTACAATAAGTATAAAGGTTAACTCTCGTTCCTTTTCAATTAAAAACGTGTCTAAATTTCAAAGGATTATTGCCGATCCAATCGACTTAAGAGATTACCCGATAAAATTAATGTTTGCATTCAATTTTTATCGTAATGAAGCTATTTAAGGGGTTAATCATTTGATCGCGTAATTTTAAGGTTCCCGAAATTTTGCGTATTTCATTATTCGGTACAAAGATCGAACGTTATGACCACGATAATAAGATCGAATTTAAATACATTGTTCTTTTAGAATAAGTAATAGTATATAGGTACATCTTACATGCCATATACACTTGAACAGATTAAAAAAACGTTATTACACAACTGATCGAAGGATAACGTGACGTAACTGTTACAGAATTTATTCATCAAATTAAATAAAAATAGAATTATTATCAACACGTAAAATAAAACTTCCACCCACATGATTTGCCTGTCCAATTCCAATTTCATTATTAAATGACAGAAGTAGAATCAATTTCCTAATACTTCGATGGTATCTATGTCACAGAAAACAAGCTTGAAATGCTATTCAATGATTGACTGTTCACAAAATCATAATGTAATACAATTATTGTATTTCTCTGATGGCGATTCGATCTCTCTGCAGGTCTAAGCTAACCCTTTCTTGGATTCCTCTGCAGGTGTAACCTAACCCGCCATTTAATTAGAAATTCCTTGAATGTTCGATTTTAATGACAATCCTCCCACCCTTTAACAAACGGCCAGAATGAGATGTTCAGCCATTCAATCAAACGGCTAAGTAAGCTAATTGGCTGCAACAGTTATATTGTAAGCACTTATAATGAGCATACGACTTTGTCCACAGATCGTCAATTTTTCCACAAGTGGGCTTTACTGACTGACCCTGACGACGTCGGAGCCGGAGCCAAAGGCTACCTAAAATGTGACATAAGTGTCATTGGCAAGGGGGACGCGATCAAAGTACCTCCAAAAAGTGAAAAAGATGAAGACGACATTGAGGCGTAAGTATCTTAATTATAATATACTAATGATTCGTGCTTCGGAAATAACACAAAGCTGCTGGTTCTGCGCCTGATCTGTGTGGAACTGCCGTTCCGTTGGATTGACGGAGTGAGTGAATACAGAATAGACCTCTCACTTGATGACCAAAGCCATAAAATGATCCGGAAAGGGCTAGTCTAGTTAGACAGACTTGCCTTCATAATGTAAGACCTAAATATTGCATTATTTTACACAAATCTTAAAGTGGACATCTTTTAAATCAATAAGATTTCTATACTTCAATTATAATTTAAACTACTAGTTTCACTTATCGTTTCAATAAATTACAATTATATTCCTAAATTAACTTCCTCTAAATCCGGTCAAAGCGCTTGGTAACATCATTTCAAAGTCTAATTCATTATTCAGAGGTCGATTATTGTACCAAATCAACCGTTGATTAATGGGACAACAAAATTATACATCGACAAAGGCGAACGTTTAACTAATAAATAAAAGCCAATGTCGATAGACATCACTTCAAATACTATACATGTATGGTAAGGTGATAGTTATACTATAAAAATATACCTTGTCCCATATTTTCATAAACAATAACAAAACAATATTGTGTCGCATAGCCCTTTGTCTTTATGATGTTCTCGTAAAACGTCGAAAATCTTATTCGATAACGTCAGCCAGTCCTGACAAAAACATAGCGGACAAATTGGCAAAGAAAACTTTCTTTATTGAGAATTCCTTTATCGTGTTGCGAGAAACGTATTTTATAGCAATAACATACATACATATAGAAGGACTCGGGCACTCGGGTACCGAAATATGGGTCAATCTTCAAAACAGGCCTATTCGTGGGACCGCTTCAGTGCCTTTCGGATATTGAAATTTAATGAGAATTTTGTATCTCATTTAATTGAGTGATGTTTCTATTAATAACTTCGGTTATTGGCCTTCAAATTACAGAAAATATAATTATAGATATAGAAATATATCAGATCCGTCCAGAAACGGGTAGATATCCTACAATTAATTATTTCCAAAATGTCAAAGCTCTTGCCTTTTTAGACAGAGTAAACGGAGCCATCAATCAGATTCAGTCATCAATTTTGCTAAAACTCATATAAGCGTCCCGTTTAGTGACTTAAGTTGAGGTCCTTTTAGACTTGCACATTTAAAATGAATCAATTTCGCAGAAACCTGCTTCTACCTGAAGGCGTTCCAATAGAGCGCCAGCGCGCCAGATTTATCGTGACGATACATAAAGCTGATGGTCTGCCCAAGATGAATTATTCACTCCTAGCTAACTTCAAGAGAGCATTCACTGGAGAAAGCCAGGACTTGGTGGACCCATTCGTGCAAGTCTGCTTCGCTGGAATGACAGTAAGCGTCTTTAACCTTCAGCTCAAATTAAATCAAAATGGAAATAAAGCCAAGCTTAAATATTTTCTCTAGACAACTAGCAGAGTACATGAATATAGAATAGGCTCTAAATTATTTAAAGCTAACAAAAAGATTGAATACATAGTACTGGTAAACATAATCTCGATTTAATTCTGAGATAGATCGTATCTCTTACATGTAACCTTGTAATTCCTTAAGGGTTCGACGTCGGTACGCAAGAACACATACACTCCAGTGTGGAATGAACAAATTGTTTTCACGGAGATGTTTCCTCCGCTGTGCCAGCGTATCAAGCTACAACTGAGGGATAATGTCCCCGTGAACCCCAACGTAATCGGAACACACTTCATCGATCTCAAGACTATTTCAAACGATGGAGACAGAGGTAAGAACATTAACGAAGTTACTCGCTGATCCAATACACTATGCTCTGTGTCTTTTTATCCAATCTTATCGCCATATTAAAGTCGTTCAGACTGAAACGTCCAGTTTATAAAACGAAGCACAATATGAATTATTCTAGACATTCAATCGTAAGATGGCGCATAGCTCTTCATTTTGCGATTAATTTATGTCCTAACAATAAGGTTACCAGAACTACTAAACTATTACTATTACCAGAAGGTATCAAGCAATCGTGTTTGAGTACACGCATTGTCTTCAGAATTACTGCATAACTGTAAGTCATTTACATTTTTCGGGCCGGTCACATTTGTCGAATAACATATGATCATTCCCCAATGAAACGTGTTCTGGACTGAAGACCGTGGCTAGGCAAACCTAGTGTAGGGCGCTCTCCAGCTAGGTGGAGTGACGATATTAGCAAAATGTCTGGTAGTGGTTGGATGCGTAGAGCTGAAAATTGAGCTCAGTGGCGTGCCATTGGAGAGGCCTACCTATGTCCAGTAGTAGACTAGAACAGGCTGTTAATGAGATAAGAAGTATTTCATACATCTCCATCTCATTTGCCTAGTCCTAGTTTAATCAATATGTAATATTCAATTCACTGCAATGTAAGTAATAAAAACAACCTACCGGTGAACGTAACAATCAATATGAATTAATATTGCACACTGAAGTCTGCATAAAATATGCCTGCAGCTATTCGTGTCATTGTTAGCAACAGTCTCCATACATGCAACAATTTAATAATACCATTGTTGACAACGGTAACCTTCGTCTATGTTTTCATTAGCAATAGAGATCGATCAATATGTATTGAAAATGAAATATCTAATATGATGTATATAAGATGTAATGTTCATATTTCAATGACAAGGTAATTGCTGAGTTAGAGCCGTGCCGGTGAAGTACACCTTAATAAACGACATTAGTTATAAAATCTTTTTGTTTGACATCGATTAAATCGATCATTTATGTCAGAATCGTCCGATATGTCCGAATCAAATCGGTTGAAACTTCATAGTATCTTAACACGTTCACCTGTGATCGGACAACCAGATGTACCGATTAAAGATCTAGGCACGATTAAACCGCACTGCTGATATATTCCAGGCTTTCTGCCGACTTTCGGGCCCGCGTACATCTACATGTACGGGTCCACTCGCGACTACAGCCTGCTGGATCAGCACGCTGGCCTCAACATGGGCATGGGTGAAGGTGTCTCCTACAGAGGAAGGTAAGTCGTACTATGTCAATAAAACTACAGTCTATGAGAGATGATTTGAGAATAAAGACCAACTGTCTCTATTGTTATCTTCTAGCAATGCCAATTACATGAAGTTAATTGTTTGGTCTTCATAGTATCTTGTACATCATGATGCAAATGTATTTATTACTTTAGTAAAGGGATTGAGATGTCCAAATGGGTGATAACTCAGAAAGCAGAATTACTAAATGCAATTAATGTCCTCAACCAACAATCCTTTGGGTTTACTAGATAAAAAATTGTAGCTTTTATTTCCCAGCGGCATAAAAGAATAGAAACCTTATTACTGCAGCAGCGTCGACATTTTTCAATTAGTTACATTCGAAATTATGCGACTCCTTTTCAGAACAACTGTTTGTTTAAACGGGTAAAATTAACCAACTATTTTATTCATTACAGACTCCTCGTTTCAATTCGAACGGAGATAATAGACGGCATCGAGTGTCCTCTGTCAGATGTCGAGGTGGAACCGATTCCACCAATCAATGAATCAAGCTTCGAGAAGAATGACGAGTTCTTCCTCTTCAGCAGCATCTTCGAAGCCAACATGATTGACAAACGTCTCACTGATAAAGCTCTGCAATTTGAACTAAGCCTTGGAAATTCTGGGAACTCCCTGGATGGGCACAACGAGTCCGTCAAACGCCCACACGACTTAGAAGGTGATCTAGGTACGAACGAAATACACGACAAATTTTTAGACTTAACCTTTAATGAAGTTTAAAAATTTTTAGACTATTTTCAAATATATGATACACAAACTCACAAATTTACTTAATTTATATACTTATACACTTGCAACGCTAATAACACTGTATTTTAATATGTACTTTTTTAATTTACCGTTTAAATTCTGTACCATTTAGGAATTAAACTGTAGGGTTAGGTCTTTGTCAAATATATTCAAGTTTATCTTCTCTACTTACATAAATTAGATTCACTTACGATTACTGTGCTCGAATTTTATTTTTACTTACTAGGCATTTTATTTTTGTAATGTAGGTACCTAATGATTTGTAATTTCTTTCTGATTTATTATTTGTGATGGCAAGTAGGAGTAATTTTAAATTTCTGCAATGTTTGATTTTAAATAAAGCTTTTGTTCTTTCTTATTCTTTCTTCTTCTTTATTATTTTTTCCTCAGGAGTTAACGCTGAAAATATTTTGCTTCAATACGTTTAAGAGAATATTATTTTTACTTTTTTGTAATAAATATTTGCGGACTAAACTGAAACGAAAGGTGTAAGGTAAAGGACAATACATTTATTTATTTTATTGAATCATGAACACTAGAAACGTGCACATATGAGTGTATATAGGAACCTATGTTTACATCTGTATAGTTGTCTGTGTTGCTTACATCAAAGTGTGACCATTAAAAGAATCAAGTAATTTTAATATCACCTCCTTTGTTATCATTAACCACATTCATTACAAAGACCACATAATATTTGCACCATTTTTGTGAGAATCACCTTTGGGTGATACTCACGTCTGGTAAATGCTCCGCAAATTCGCAGTAGCTCGCGAACCGATCGTGAGCCGCCCGCGAGCTGCCCGCGTGCATTTTAAATTATTATTTATATGAACCTTGTATGAGTTGAGTACCAAACCATTGCCGTGACTGCACGCGCGCAGCTCGGGTGCAGCTCGCTTGCAGCTCGCAACCGGCACATTTGCAGCGCATTCGACAGATATCGACGCACTATATTAATTAAGAGTTAATGTAAGAAAATTAACACCATCTAATTTTAACTTGTTTTAATATAGATGAACTTTGCGCCGACACTGGGTACTGGCAGAGTACCACTCAACCAGCCAAAGCAGCGTCTACGGACAAGACTTACTACTACCTTCCATACTGGGACCACAAACAATGCATGCACATACGCAGCATATGGCCAGACCATCGCCGCCGCATGTACAATTCTAATCTGATTGCTAATATCATCGACAAATATGTAAGTTTGTGTTTACGCAATAACTTAGCTCTGTAGAACAATCAACAGCCTCTGACAATTCACTCCTGGACTATGAGTCTTCTCTATTTAAGAAGTTTGCTTATGGGGTGACGTCCTCCATCGTAGATCGCATCATCGCTTACCATCAGGAGAGATAGTAGTCAGACGTCGCGTCGGCCCATTAAATATAAAAAAAAACCTTTCATAAGGGATAAGGCGGCAAAAAAGCTAACGGATCAGCTGTCGTTAAGCAATCGTCGCCACCTGTGGACACTTGCAACATCGAATAAGTTACAAGTGCGTTCTGTTTGACGATTTGGGCGATTTGCATTGGGCAAAGTATTGATCAGTGTAGTACTTAGGCTTTGTTCCTCGAAACACTTCTTGAATATTCCATTCATTTCCAGGAGGAAGGTTTGGCTGATGCTCAAGCAGCTATCGATGTGGAGATACATCCAGACAGCTCCAGTGTGCTGATGCTCAAATCAACGCTGGAGAGCCTCAGTAGCGCTTGCAGTGCCTATGTCCGGCATATGACCAACGCGCCACCTCTCGGACACACTAAGCTCGACAAGGAACGGCAGAAACTCTGCGTCTATGAAATTGTAAGAAACAAAATTATTATTGTAAGAAAAAATTTGCAGTAAACTGATAGATAGTGCCCATTCTAATACAAATTTTGCTACAGGAACAAATTGCAGCCATGGCTAAAAGCTTGAGGGCTTTGATCACGAAACACTCAATAAAGGAGCGATTACGCACCGCCTACTCATACCTGAACATGCTGAAACATCTCTGCGAAGATGTAAGTATCAACAGCATACTAGCATACTCATCATTATCAACGTATAAGTCCACTGTCGGCCTATTGGCCAACTTAAATGTGGGATTTACCATCCATCTCCAAGCTGGTTAGAAATTTCAATTTAAAATGATCAGGTTTATCAGTGGACGTTGCTGCCCGGTATCTGTTAAGTATATTTTTACCTCCTAGAGCTCCTTATTTAATCATATATATTGGTATTATTCCAGGCCCAGCACGCATTGCCAGATATATTCATCTGGCTGATCAGCAACGGCAAGCGACTGGCATACCAGCGCATCCCAGCCAGAGATATTATCTACTCAGACTTCGCAGACGAGTCCGGCAAATATTGCGGCAAGATGCAAACGCTATTCCTCAAGGTAAGCCCTACACTTTATCTTTTACTTATGGCAATATTATTACTTTCTTAGAAAAGGCATTATCTGTACTACAAAACTTCTGTTTTATTTCAGTTTGTCGTTCAATTTCAATTAAAATGTTACAGTGGCCAGGGAAAAAGTCAGCATCACCTAGCGGATGGTCTATACCAGCGAAGATCAGCGTCTACCTGTGGTTGGGTATATTGCAACACAAGAAACATTACATTGACGGTCTGCCTCAGGGATATGAAGTTAGCTCAGAGCTACGCAATGCTGATAAGCTACGATCTAACGCGCCATCTACCATATTTTATGCTGAAAAACATGTAAGTCAACTTCATTGCCTACTAAATCTATTTCGTTGACGCTGACCTATTAAGTATATAAAACTTACTTTGCTTAATAATTTTTTTTCAGAATTTCCAAATGCGAGCTTATGTGTACCAGGCCAGGTCACTAATTGGATCTGATTCTTCGGGTCTTTCCGACCCATTTGCACGAATTGTGATTGGAGAAAGTAGCGGAACTACACAAGTTATTGACGAAACATTGAGCCCAACATGGGACGAATTACTTGTCTTTGATGATGTGCTGCTCTACAGCACCATTGAACGTATCAAAGCTGATCCTCCAACAATAGTCATAGAGATTTTTGATCAAGACAAAGTCGGCAAGTCCGAATTCATCGGCCGTACATTGGCTAAACCACGGATAAAATCATATGAAGATGTCCAAGGTGGCTCACAGAATACACCGTCTTTGGAGTGGCATGAGATCACACGAGGTGACGATCGAGCTGGGGAACTATTGGCTACGTTCGAACTTCTCGAAATACCACCCAAACAAGATTCATCCATACTTCCTAATCTGCCTTCACCGAGAGAAGCAAACGGGAAGCCGCCCATTGATATAAACAAAGGCCCAATACTTCCTGTACCAAGAGGAATTCGCCCAACACTGTCTAAATACCGCATTGAAGTATTATTCTGGGGGTTACGTGATTTAAAACGTGTTCACCTGCTGACAGTGGACCGCCCTCGCGTCGATATTGAGTGTGCAGGCAACATTCTGTACTCATCTGTGATACAGAATGCGAAACGTAATCCCAACTTTACAAACCCCATCAGGTTTGTTGACGTAGAACTACCGGAACAAGACTTGTATAGACCACCTCTAACTATCCGTGTGGTTGACTGTCGCAGCTTTGGGCGCATTACTCTGGTAGGCACCCACACTATTAATTCTATACATAAATATATTTACACTCCAATGAGCAAGCGTGAGAGGGACATTGAAGAAAGAAAAAAATCCCTAATTCCATTACAAAATGTTGATCTACGAGCCAACTGTATCGTACCGGATGACACTTTTACTATTGAGAATGAAAAAGAAAGCTGTCCATTACTGACACGCGAAGGAAGGGGTGCTGCCTCCTATGGCTCGGGCATAAAGCCTCAAGTAATGCGCAAGAAATTCACTAAACGTGAGTCGATGAAGAAACGAAAAGCTAGCACTGATTCTGCTCTTGATGACGATGAAGGAAGCAAGGATTGGTGGACCAAGTACTTTGCTTCGGTAGAATCGATGATTGAGGAAGAAAAAGAGGCTAAAAGAGAGAGGCAGGGCTTCTTGCAGCCATCTCAAGCACATGGATCGTCGGATATGCGGTCACCGAGATCTGAAGAGATACACTCGCCGAGAGCTGATCGTGACAGAGAAAGAGATAGAGACCGCAACCGAAGACGACAGCCAACGTCACCGAAACCAAAAGTCAGTCCGACTTTAAAGAAAAACGAGATACCGCGTTCAGCACTGGCTAAGGTAAGGAACAAAATCGTGACGTACATACTTTTTAAAACTTAACATATTTAATTATTAAACTGATCTCTGAATCCATTTAATTGCTAAATAATTAATTATTTTTTAGTGTTTATTTCTATTATCAACTTACCCGTATTCTAGATTTACCCACATGAGCTGGAAGCCGTGCCTGAGTATGATGAATTCAAGGAATGGCTTCATTCCTTTGAACTGTACAGGGGAAAGAAGACCGGAGACGACTCTGAAGATGAGAACCGAGTTGTTGGCGTGTTTAAAGTAAGCTTCGTAAAATTTATTTTTTTCACTCCTTAATTTTTAATGGTTTCTCTCATTAAAATTATGAATTGGTATCGATATTAGTCTTGTCTGGTTTTTAATATGTATTTTTTTATTACAGGGAGCTATCAAAGTATACAAATGGCCTCTTCCACGTGGGATTGATGACCATACCGTAATGGGATTTGATCCCAATTATGGATTCTTCCAGGGCGTTCCCAATAATGAACCCATCCATGTGCTTGTACGCGTGTACATTGTCAAGGCTACTGATTTACATCCAATGGATCTCAATGGCAAAGCTGATCCCTACATAGTGCTGCATCTCGGATCAAAGAGGATCAGCGATAAAGAGAACTATGTGTCCAAACAACTGAATCCTGTTTTCGGTAAATGTTTTGAAATTGAGGCAACGTTCCCACAAGACTCACTTCTGACTATCCAAGTTCTGGACTGGGATCTACTCGGCGCTGATGATCTTATCGGTGAAACAAAAATCGACCTGGAAAATCGATTCTACAGCCGTCACCGTGCCACATGTGGCCTCCCGATGAAGTATGAAGAGTAAGTATACTAAAAGCATAATTGGTACTGTTTATAAATAAGTTTCATAAAGTATGTCAATAAACTGCTATTATCACCTACTCACAAATATTTTCAGACAAGGCTATAACCGCTGGCGTGATGCTATGAAGCCAACGCAAATTCTAGCTAAACTTTGCAAAGACGGAAAATTGGACCCCCCTGTCTACGAATATGGTCGAGTTAAGATAGGGCGTACGGTCTTCAACATGCACATGGAGGATACTGAGCTGTTCTCAAATCCTGACACAGTAGAGGAACAAATGGCTCTGCTGGTACTGCGTCGCTGGCAGGAGGTCCCTAGAGTGGGAACTAGACTGGTGACTGAACACGTTGAGACACGTCCTCTCTACAATCCAAGCAAACCAGGTAAGGGTATTTCCATTGATTGACTGTTTTTAACACATAAGATTCTGATACGAAAGCAATACTTAACATTATAGTAAAAATGGTAGTTTCAAAAGTTATAAACCAATTATATCAAATAAATCAAACGCATGCATTAGTAATGAGAAACAAAATTTAGAATTTTGGACAAATAACAATAAACACGTTATTTTCTTTATTCCAGGGATTGAACAAGGGCGCTTACAGATGTGGGTGGACATGTTCCCGATGGACATGCCCCTGCCAGGCCCACCTATGGACATATCAGCTCGCAAGCCCAAGTCCTACGAGATGAGGGTCATAATATGGAACACTGATGACGTCGTACTCGAAGACGACGCGTTCTTTACCGGAGAGAAGATGTCTGATATTTATGTGAAAGGGTAAATGTTATTACCATCTAGATTTGTGAAAGCTCTTGATTTTTGTTGAATTTTCGTTCACCAACGTACCAATAGCCTGATATCCTGGTGAAGGTTGCAGAGAGTTGTTACCTCTATTCGGCAAATTTGAAAAAAAAACAATATCTTTAATCTGATCTTCTACTAAAAGACATAATTTACGAGAAAGGGTTAAACAAAGCACTTTAAATATTTAATAACAATTTTACAGTTGGGTAAAAGGTCCAGACGACTGTCAGTCCACGGACATACACTACCGCTCTCTAACTGGAGAGGGCAACTTCAACTGGCGCTTCATATATCCGTTCGATTACTTGGAAGCTGAAGAACGAATCGTGATCTCTCGCAAGGAGTCCGTCTTCTCGTGGGATGAGACTGAGTGCAAAATACCCGCGCGTCTCGAACTACAAGTGTGGGACGCTGATCACTTCTCTGCTGATGACTTTTTAGGTAAGCATCGTCTAAATACTCAAACGCCACTCAATTTTAACTCCCGTTTAATATAGTTCTGACACTACAAATTCTTTGTATGGCACGATACTTGGACATCGTGCCATCTCTATGACTTTCTATGTCTTATGACAAGTTGTACTTGGGTACAACTTAAAATTTAGTAACCTATCAATACTCGGACGTACCCTCCTAAATCTAAAATCTCATTTTGATAATTACAAATTCATGAAGTCTCGACGTAGAGGAATATCTACAACACAAGAATGTACAAGGTTATAGTAGTACCTACATAATGTATACAAAATTATTAAAGGTATATCGAAACTGGCTTTGACTTAAAATTGTAAAACGAACTCTTTGTATTACCGTTCTTCGTGATGAAAAAAATTCTAATTAATTAAACCTCTTCAAATACAATCAATTCGTAACATTCCAGGCGCCATCACTCTGGATTTGAGTCGCTTCCCTCGAGGAGCTAAATCCTCGAAGCTCTGCACGTTGGACATGCTTCAATTCGACGGCTCCGTGCCGATGGTGAACATCTTCAAGCAGAAGCGAGTGAAGGGTTGGTGGCCATTCTACATTAAACGTGACACTGAGGAGATGGAACTGACTGGGAAGGTGGAAGCTGAGATACATCTCCTGACTCGTGAGGAAGCTGACAAGGTGCCTGCTGGCCTTGGACGCAACGAACCAGACCCCCTGGACAAACCTAAGTGAGTGTTTAAACTTTTTTGTTAACATACGAGGAGAAATTTCCATAAACTTACCTGTAGTTATTAATGTTTTATTAAATTCTATTTATTAATTTATGAATGTGATCTCCACAGTCGCCCGGACGCTTCCTTCATGTGGTTTTTGAACCCGCTCAAATCTATCCGCTACATCGTATGGCATAACTACAAGTGGACCATCCTCAAGGCATCCATCGTCTTCCTGCTAACTCTCATGATTCTACTGCTGGTGTACGCTGTACCCGGATACACGGTGAAGAAACTCTTAGGAGCTTAAATTATACAACAATACAGCTAATGACTTGAAATATATTCAAACTAGATTAGGTTTCAATTTTATGTCTAGATGAATGTGCAAAAAAGTAAAAAAATCCATAAAAATATTTCAATTCTTATACACATTTAACCACTTGAATGTAACCATAGATTTAATCAATAATTATTATTGTCTTAGGATTAGATTCAAGAAATTATTTTTTAATATTGTATTTGAATGTTATTTTCTTATACTTTTCAACTTGAACTACCATATCATCTATATTTCTTTAAGAACTATATCTATAGGTACTTGTATCTACAATTTATATCGGACTGTCTATGTTCCACCTGCCGCCTACTAAATTAATCCTACTGTGTAATATTCATTTCATATCTCAGTTTAACTACGTATATTTATATTTTTGAATATTCTATGTGTTTTAGATGAGTGGGGGGACTATGAGCCTATCAGTAATGGTCCTCTTTGGCTACCAACATCAGTTGGCCACTCTTGTAAATGTCGCAGGCAATTAGAAAACCTTTCCATTTACATGAGATTCCGATGACAGTGAAACAGCTGAACTACTGTTATTGTTCCGAGACTACTTCTGACAAACGTGTCACCTCTTTGAGGATGTGTGAAACAACACATATTTTAGACAGATTCAGACCAAATTGCGAAGAAGATTCTTTATCGATCTCTCGACCTTTGATCGATATTGTATCTTAGGGATGACGATAGATTATCAAATAAATTCGATCATAAAACCGTTACAAAATAACTTATAGATACGTAAACGAAACTGCAAAATGGCTAGTTGTCTGCGACACAATATAGCTGTATTAAGGGAATAAAAACTCAAAAAAAAATCCATATTTATCCATAGAAATAAGGCCATATTTAACCAAACATATTTAACTCATATTACTATATGTAACCGTAGTAATAAAACCACGTTTAACCAATATCTATGTGTTAGAGAGCACTCAATGTTAAATTTTAATCTTAAATTCTACCACATTGTCCACAATCATCGCCATCGCGATTACAGACTAAATAGAATATAAAATGCACAATAGTAATGAGGTTTGTTATGGAGATTTGAAAAGTAACTGGTGTCGAACATCCTAGAAAATATTTTTGATGAAAGTGTAATCTTCTATAAGCCATCAGCACGATTAGTATCCGTTTGATGTAAGATTTAAGTAAAATATTACCTTGAGCCCTCAATATTATAAAAAAACAAATTCACATTCCGATATTCAAAATAATTTTCCATAACATTCCTCACCCAGTTTAACACCCAAAATAAAAATAATTGCCGTAGCAGAGTTACTTTCACTATTGATGTTTAGCATTAATAATATAATCAATCAATAATCAATGTCTAAAATAATAATTTGAAAATAACTTTACCTGTCAAATATCTCACATATCGAATGTATTCACATATCAAAACGAAAAAAAATCGCAGTTAATTAAACAACGGGACAGATAAAGTGACTTTTAACAGATTGTTTATATGTGTATTCAATTATATTAACAATTATGTAACAGTATTGAATCACTTCAACAATATATAATATAATTTAGCTGTAGGGAAATTGGTGTTTTATTTGAACCCCCTGTATTTCTACTACCCCTACAACTGCCTACGACTGCCTCGGGCTAAGTATTGCTGAGATTTTTAAATAAATCTCAATAATAGCACGGAGTGTGGAATTGTGCCCGGTATATAGCAATAGGCTCAGTCCCTATTACATGGGACCTATAACATAAATAGTGAAAAGGGGGTGTTACATTGTACAGTGGCATTAAGTGCCGTAATGTAGGTACACCTGTGCCTACCGCTCTGAGGATAAAAGGTGTGATGTTATGTTATGTTACCCCTACAAGTATATATTGATTTACTTCCAAAACCCAGACATTGAAATACCATTAAAGTTTGCAGTTCAGTAAAGTCAAATAAGAGCTTAAGAAAATAATTGTATGATGTTCTGTTGGAAGCCCATTTACAGCAGTGAATACAAAGTGGCTAATAGAAGTAGTTCAGTTAGTCTGATATGGCCAATAAAGAAAACTAAAGTACAGAATCGATGTGAAAGATACAGCTATGACCAGCTGGACCATGACAAAGATCGTAATTCAAAAAATTGTTTGCCTTGTCCTCGAAGTCAGTATTCCACGCTATCAAAGTCGTTGACAAAGTTATTGTTTCATAATAAAAGTAAAATTTTGTTGAGCATATCTACACACATCTTAGGTTCAAATCTAGTTCATCTTAAGTTACTACACTTTCAGCAGGAAGAAGATGGATTGTTATTTTCAAGTTATTCTGTGGGCCGATCCCGGCGGCACTGCAATGCCGGGCCGACCCGTGACGGGAGTGGAGCAAGCCCCTACATCCCGTCAACTTCAAAAATTCAGTTTAATTTTCTGGTCCCTCAGTGAGGGAACTTTCAGATATTAAGCTGAAAAGAACAGTTACTACACTTTGATCTTAGCCAAGAGGCCGAGAAGCGATAACGTGGCACTGGTCGCCGTCGGGGGTCATTCAATCGCGGAGAATCTTAACACCGCGATTCAAAAAATGACGTCACGGCACAGTGCCATCTCTCGGGTGGCTGTAGTACAGGTATTAATAAAGGGGTGGACATTGTACTCTATTACTTTTAGCCCTTCGCCACACATAACCTGACGAATAACTCGATCGCTTTTATACAACGCCATCTATCCGCATATTAAATCATTAGCTGTATGTAAGACTCGCTCTCTGATATTGTACAACTTCGTTTTCATCAGATAGCTCATCAATTCATCACAGATCAAAAATTCATCAGATAGCTTTTTAAATTGACTCACATTAATGTTGTTTCTAAATCTGCTAGATGTCGTAATTGGTTAGCTGTTCTGACCACTATGCCATAGGGCTCCAAAAATAAGTAAGTTGGCATTTTTTGATTTCGATATAATACCTCTATGTAATATTACCAACCTAATCATATTACACACACCTCTTAATATGAATTCTTCTGAAAGATAAAAGAAACCTAAAATAAATCATTAATATACATACATACATACATACATACAACTGTATGAATTTCTCAAATAAATATTGTAGCTTTATAAATTGCTATTTCATCCGCGTAGTACCAGAAAGTATTGTTTTGCAAAATTGCCGATACCACAGGCTCATAGAAGACCGATGTCCACCACTAAGGCCCAACGGCCGGCTGCGTTAGCTGCGTACTTATAAATCTTCTGGTGTTGCGGTCATCTATTGATAGCACCGATCGCTTACCATCAGGTGATCTGTCGACTTGTTTCCCACTCTATCCTACGAAAAAACTAGGTCCTATACCTGTCTATCGGTCTGATTATTATTACAAGGATAAAAAGAACTTTTATGAAAACCTGTTACACAAAAGGATAAAATCCCTTTATGGGAACCAGTTGTGAAACCCCAGCTTCCGAGACGACCGACAAATACTTATGCAAATTTCAGATAAGCAAACAAGCTATCTTGTAAATTCAAATTACTTTATTTGTAAATCATAGGTTATAAAAGATGTTACAAGCTTTGTACTGTCTATTATCCTCTGACTCAATGGAAATTGCAAAAAAAAGTCCATTGACTTTTAAGAGCATTAATTATGCTTCGACTAGCTACTTCCGCGCGGTTTCACACGCTCTGTTCAGCTTCTATTGGTCGTAGCGTTATGTTTTATAGCCTAAATCCATTCTCGATTAATGCGCTATCCAACGCAAAAAGAATTATTCAAATCAGACTTGAAGTTACGGAGATTAGCGCGTCCAAACATACAAACAAAAAAACAAACTCTTTAGATTTATAATATTAGTATAGATAAGATTACGGTGCTCTCATATACCATTTAAGTTGGGTTATTTGGTTGTGAAACACCCCTAGATCTCTAAATAGTTTGTCAATCTCGTATATTAGAGTTCAAAGTATTACACGCTGAAAAACAATCATATAAATAGGCTACAAAGTAGCACTTTTATTAATACCAGTTCATATTTTGAAATTAAGCTAGATGAGGCCGATATTTCCTATCTCACAACCTATTAAGAAACATCGTAGAAAACTCAGTTCTTTTAATTATAGACTAAATGAAAAATAAAGTGGAAGATCTGTGCATTCTGTAGTGAGAGTGACTTATTAAAAACAGAACTATAATATTATTATAATAGGTAACATGTTTAAGTAAGTATGTTTAATTAATTTCAATGTCAAAACAATTCAGTTAACAGATCAATAATCTGATAAATAATATCAACGAAAAGATAAATTGGGTAGATCGCACAAATATTGAAACTGTTACAATGAAATCAACTTTAAGTAAAGAAAGTCACATGGTGCTAATAAAGCACTTCAATTATTCGCTCATATCATCTTACAAAACCGTCATATTATTTAAACACTTTCTCTATTCATTTGGCAAGCATAAATGTATGTTTTGTAACAAAAATGTTAGCAAAACTTTCTATAATAAAAAATATAATAAGTACTTAACGCAAAAGTACCAGACCTAACCTAACCTAACCTAACCTAACCAGAGGAATTTCAAGTACTCCCAAGGCATATTGTAGTATGTTTAAAGACGAACCAGCAATAATATAGGTCCTAAACTTATGAAAATATCTTAACACATTGTGTAAACCATCTACATTGTTTTATATTCCTTCAAGCACACAAATAAGATTAACTACGTTACTAAGTTTGGACTAAAGCGTTGAGGTAAAAATCAATAATTTCTACAATGAATGAGAGACTCGCGTTTTGCAAACGTTCTAAGGATTTTCTGTATAGATAGGATTAAAATTCTTAAATCAAACCTATTGCTTAGCAATAGAGGCCACCTCATTACCATATTAGACTAATAATTACTTTAAATGACTAAAATAGATACAAACAACACTAAGCCCGAAACCGTCAGAGAAAGCCAAGTGTTATGCTTAGCTTGCGTATAAATAATTCTAAAGAATGGTTCTGAAAACATGAAAAATGCCAAACAACTACCTTCAGACCAAATAAATATGAAATTTTCAACATTTCTGCCTTACTCCCCATACGAAAATCGTGACACGACGACGTCACGACCTGTCACTTTTCCCGTTGGGTGTAAACAAAACCTGCGCATAAGGGGGGGTAGAGGCACGTTTTTCGTCCAGTGCGCAGGTGAAGCTCCTCGCCACATACGCGCCTGGTATAGCGCGCGGACGACTTTTCGATTTTCTCCATACATTCGGACCACAGCTACCAGGATATCAGTTTCGTCATAGAGGTGTCTTAAAATGACAGCTGTCAAATGAAATTTCCATCTTAAAATGTTTACGATTTCATTAAAAATTCAAAACTTTTGTGTGGAATCGCTTTGTTTTAATAATTTACTAATATCTTGAAGTTTTAAGAGGTATCAAAATTTTAGATTTTTTTTATGTTTTTAATCCAAAATACTATTTTCACGTGTCGTTACGGATGGTGTAAAGACTTTAAGGTGGAACCCTATTACTTGCGAACCCGCCTATAATCAAAATGGCTTCGTTCACACATGCAAACATCCTACCTCTCTCTCAAATGTAGGCTATATTTATATCACTATCCCTTTCTTCCACTGTGAAGTCTATATGTGAGTAGTAAAAGGTAACGCCCACCACCCTGTCTGAAGGGGGTGCAAAACCATTTTCTCACACCACGGATCTAGAATACTATGTCGTTTCTCTGTCTGTTCAATAGAGAAAATATTTTATCTCGTTCTTGCACGAAATTGAGTGAAATAAATCATTCCATTCGATTAAAGTACAGGAGGCGAAGATGCCAAATTTAAAGTTACGTTGAAGCTGAACTTCGAGCATTGAACGTTTTTTGAATATATGTTGATACAATGGAATGTGATTTGATTAAACGAATGGGCCGTAGCATACATATTTATCTGAAATAGCCTCACAGGGTGCGGTCACGCTTCAAGACTTCCCTGGTGATCAAGTCAAAACCAAGGGATTTTTATTACTTAATGTTATGTATGTACGCACGTCATTTGACGACGTTGAACACTAGGACACACTTACTAGGACGGACATACTTACATAGCACTTACATACAATCGGTCAACTTACTGGAGTGTAGTTTTGTGCAAAAAGTCCAGTTTTCCCATAAGGCTTTTAACCCATGTCTTTAACGGTGGCATTGCCTTTTATGATATCTTAATCATGTGTGTATAATATCTTAGTATCTTATTAACACGTTAAACGCCATGGCAGTCACTGGTGACCGACATTAGCGGAGGATTTGCCTTCAATAGTTTTTTATTGGCAGCCAATGCCTTAATCTTTCTATTATCTATTAATCTTTAATATCTTATTATTAATCATGTGTGTGTACACATGATCATTTACATAGAGGATGTGTGTGTACACATGATCATTTACATAGAGGATATTAGAAATCAGTTACTCAAACACGTGGAATAACTAAAATTAATCAAATGCCTTTGAATAACTCTCCAAATATTGTCTCGGGCTCCCCGACTAGTAGTATTAAGCCGTGACGTGGGCGTAACAACCTCTTTG